CCATAGAAAATTATCATTATTACAATGTTCCATCATGGAATACCTTTCGTCATCACCGTACGCTTAAGATGTTATACGTTCCGCAGCTCAATTGAATGGACAACGCTGACAGAATGTACTGCAGCAAGAAAATATCTGGAATGAGCTTACATTAATTATAATCCACAGTGCATTTTTACGTACAAGTCAATAGTGTACAGTATAATCATATGTGGATACCTGTACAACTAATGTGCAGAGTCATTATTCAACTATTGGAGATAAGTCATAAGATTTATTTTGCCAGAAACATTCGAAATACAAATAGCATATTGCTATATGATTAACGCCAACTAAAACCATGCTAATAACAGGTGGCCCATTCAGCGTTGAAAATAGTTTTCTAACAGTTGTCTACTCCGTTGTCACTTACGCCTGTCTCTTATACTTTAGGATTAAGAATTAATGTACAGATGCATTATGTATAATTAATGTGTATAATAACAAATGAGCAGATAGCAGATTGACAATGGTGGTTAGATGTATGCCTAAAATAGTACAAATCAAGACTATAGGGACCCGAAATGTGACGTCACAGTACCTGCTGGTTCCAAAGCAGGTAGATATGTATACGCATAAAAACTAATACAAGCGCGCGTGGGAAACACAGACCATGCACAGACTAGCAGTGAAGCTTGGTTTCCATACAATCGCTACACAGTCGTTTCGGCGTTTTCACTGCAATCCTTGCACTGCGTAGCTGTCTCTGACACAATCGGGAACGCACCCTGATTCAACTGACCAATCAGCGTCGCCAAAGGAGTCGGCGATAGCATGTAGCGATTTTTATGGAAACCAGACTTAACTGGAACCAATAGATCCCACTCGGTGACGTCATCATTCTATACGGTAGCATTTCTAATTGCTTAATAAATTATGATCAATATATAAAATAACAATTTCTCTTTGTCACTTCGCAAATTTTGATTAGATTCACCGAACGAAGTCAACCCTGATAATTATATTAACGGGATTTATTGTATTAAACTTTAATGAATATCAATCACTATATAAGATTAAATATGACGAGGTATGCTGAAGCTCGTGCTGACCTGTCTATTAAAATTTATGGCTCAGAATTTAGAAATAATTATCAGATTTCCACGTGTTTACATAGGCCTACACTTGGAAGTTCAGGTGTATAAAAGAATCAATCCTCATAGGGATTCGTATAAATTATTCTATTACATATTACAATAAATCCTTTCCTACAAATTGACCTCCAGTTCCCGTTTTGAAATATGTGAATTTCTATCAAATCAGTCTTGCATCTCGGATAGGACTCAAAGTGCACCTGTCTGAAGAGTAGAGGCCGTATTCAAATTGTAAATTGCCTCATCATTTATGCATAGGTTTTGAATGAGATTCGCATGATATCGTGCTACCTCGCTTTAAATTATCCCTGACTTAAGGGTGTGTTTATATCTACGGATTGTTTGTAAGTGAATTCCGCCATTGAGTGACTTTAATTAAAAGTAAATGAACCAGATAATTAATATCTGTCCAATAATATGATGAATCGTTATTTCCAGCTCATTGGTTTATTTTTTTCGGTATGCTTCTGATACCAGTAGATGAATATTTGTTCGTGAGAGTCCTACGCAATATATGATTGCAAAGAATGAGTTGTAACCCAAACCAGTTGATATTCAGTACTACAATAAGCAAATTCAAAGGGGCTTCCGGCACCTGGGGTTAAACATGATAATTAACTCACACACATAATTTCAAAGGTACGTTGAATGTTTTGGTTGGTTTAGAATTAAATCGCATTAATAACAAGTCGCCAAAATACAGCTTCGATCTGATTGGCTATGAACTTAAATTTTAAAACATACTGAATGTCGCTTATAGGCCTAATGAAAAAAAATACCAGTTTCTCGTTATCCATTTTGAATTTGTTTTTATTTCATTTATTTTACGAAATGTAAGAAAATCTGGCTAACTCACATCACATAGATATGGTATGAATCATGTCTAGTGCTTCTTTTTATTTGCTTTCAATGTGACAACTTCGTAAAAGTGAGAAATTATTACCTGTTTCCCATCGACCATCTTGGATTTGCCATCTTGGAGTAAAAAACAATTATTAGGAAGTGAAACTACGTTTGTTTTTACATGGCCTTAAAATGACAGCTTTAGCAACTAATGGCGTAGTCGATACCATCATAAAAAATCACCCACTATCCTTGAACAACGTGTCATTATGACTCCTGCCTCGATAGAGAACAATTATGATTTTATGCCATAGTTTTTCTTGATTGCTTGTTTTCGAATTCCTAAGCCTCTGATATGCCATTACACTGCATCAGCGAAGGCTATATTGCAAGCTATTCTTAGCCAGGTTGAACTTCTGTCCTCGTTTAAGCCTAGCAACACATTTATATTTAAAAAAACCCACCCATATGTAATTATTCACTCTATTCAAAAATAGACATACTGTAACACTACGCTTTTTGTTGTGAATTCTATATATTTTTGTTTACATGATGATGATGATCATCATTATTATTAATGCTATTATTATTATTATTATTCTTTTTATTATTATTATTATTATTGAAAATTGTAGTGAAGTATAAAGATCAATTTACATAGATAAGCATTTTTACAGTAATTACAGACATAAGCCTATTCGATTTAGAAAAAAACTATTAAAACTTGAATAAATGTCTCTAAAATTAATCGATGCCAATGATTACAAAAAAACAAAATAACGTATAATGTGCCCATGCGTATTAATCTCGTCACAATAGATAAATTAATAGGCCTGCAGTAAATAGACAAAAATAATAATTTAACAGGTATTAGCCACAAGCCAAAATAGATTATGATTTATAATAAATGAACTACAATATCGAGTCGATGTTTTGCATTTATAAAGGCTTTTAAGACTACTAGGCCTATACACAAATAGGCCTATAATCATCAATTATGGTGAACTTTTATTTATAGAAACTTTTTAAAAGCAAACTGCACTCAGTGAATTTAGGTCAAATACTCTAGTTAAATCGAACATTATTTAACGGGAGAATATAAAGAGAAATAAACATTATAAACGAAATGACACTGGTTGCGATATACAATCTCGTTTCATTTTCTAATAGGCATTTAGTATGCGAAAGTTGCCATAGAACGGCCTAGTAGTATATGGCAGATGTCCCCAGGCGAGTATGAAATGTATATGAACAGCGCGGGAATTAACTTGAATAAATAATGAAGGCGAGGCAAATGCCAAGTTGTTACTATCAGGAACGGTTGATGTATTGAGTAATACATTTTACAAGTGCACATTAATAATAATTAAAACAACAATTATTAATATTAACATTGTTATTATTATTATCATTATTATTATTATCATTATTATTATTTGTATTATTTATGATTGTCATCATCTTCATTATTTTATTATTATTATTAATATTAGTAGTAGTATTACTATCATTATATATATATATAATTTCACCAATATTAGAATACAAATAATAATATATAATAAAGTATAACGATGATCTTAATTATAATAAAAATGACAAATTAAATTATATTGACATTACACAAATACAATTGTTTGTATTTTAGTTTTATTCGTATAGCGCACTGTGCAAGGTAAGCTGCAATAGATATAAGATTTGACACATAGATTAGCTTTGTTGCTAATTAAAATTAACTCACTCACTGATATTTGTTTATTATACTAAGTATATCATTGTAACGTTGAAAAAAAGATTAATTCGCAGGGCACAGCTATTTAATGAACATGTAATGTAGAAATATAATTGCTGTGCGATGCTCAATAATAAATTTCTTTCTCATTACCTCAAAAATGATTGCCAAATGGACGTGAAATTTGAAAAAGTAATTGCTTAATTAAAAATTCTAAAACCGACTTACTTTTGAAAAGCAGTTCTTCATTAAAAATAGAATAAATAAGCATTCAATTTATAAATAGGTATATATTATGCCAAAATACAATATATTATAGAGTCCGTATTATTCTGTTACACTATGTGACAAATTGCCCCTAAACTCTCATATATACTGTAATCGGTATGCTTTCCAAATCAGCGTATTTTAAAATTTAAAAGAATTCACAATTAGGTCAAAAGTGGTGGATTACATTAAACCGACATAATAATATATTGAGAAAAAATGGGCAATATCTATTGCTATTTAATGATTAGGCCTACATTGTCTCGTTATGTTGTAAAAATATAAAGGCAATGCAACAGTTAACGCCCTCACACTATGTACTTGAGAGTGCGAACAGCTGGGATATGCAGACACCTTTCAACATAGCAAAGTAGTAGTATACCTAATTATCTTAATAATAATTTCATTTCTATTCACTTAATTAATTTATTTCCTGAGACAATGATAGAACCCGCTAAGACAATCTGTTAATAGCCACTGTGCGGATGAATATCGAGACCACGGAAATTAATAACGTACCACAACAGAAAAAAAAACATGTCATAAAAGGAATTTGCAAAACATGTCATAAAAGGAATTGGCAAAATACTCTATCTTAACACTCGGCAAAATGAACATTAATTCATCTGAAGACCTCATTTTTTAGGAAATATTGTGAGCAGCGGCCTAGTTCTGTTCCGATATACAGCTAATATAGTATATATATACTGTATATATAGTATATATATACTATATATATACATATATACACACACACATATATATATATATATATATGTGTATATATATATGCGTGTGTGTGTATATCAGATTTAAAGTCACATGAAATGTCTATCGTTAATGGACATTAATGCATTTTGAATGAGAAGAGGAACACGCCAGAGTTTTGGTATACAAGAGTGCGCATGCTCAGTTTCTAGCTCTAGCTCAAGCTGTCAAGCTAAATAATATGTTTATAAAGTAAAAAAAAAACTATTTGATTTATGTATTGAGCGTTTCTTAATCTTTATCTTTTTGTCTTGCAGACTATTTCAGACGGTCTCCTAGCAGACCTAACTAAAGAGATTATGGAGAAATACGATGCTAACTTAGACAATAAAATTGAGATGTCAGAGGTAGGTCTAAAATAAGCATTTAAATGTATATTCGATGAGGCTATGTAAAGATTTAGAACGATCGCCAGCCTACAACAAACGTCTTGGAATTATCTACGCTAAAATATGTAATCTGTAATAGAACATAAATGAGCAGTAATTTATAACAATAAATTTATAACAATAATAAACTTAAAATAAATAATAATTATAAGCTAAATAATTACAATGATTATAATACCAAATATATAAACCAAATTAAATTTTCCGTTTTATATTCCTTTGGTTTATTTAAATAATGTATTATTGTATTTGGGGCACACACATTTGTAACATTAATTCATAATATATGTAATGTATTATTTAAGCTTGCAGAGATGTTGCAGCCCGAAGAGAATTTCTTGCTGCTCTTCCGCTCAACAGCCGGTCTTAACTCTAGCATAGAATTTATGGAGGTAAGTGAAAGCTAGCTTGGTTTTTATGTCTTGTAGAATGAACCATTGTGGAGTGTCAACAAAACTTAACAACATACCAATTTAGAATACCGCCAAGAATACGCGCATGTCCCACAAATATACATGTTTATGCTTTCATATTGGTATTCCTATGTGCTTTAGTATTTTGATTGTATGCGATTGTTGCCTAAACTGAGTTTCCACAAGGACAAAATAAATCTGAATCTGGTTTATCAGGGAACAGTGTAATTTCACTGTTCCCTGGGTTTATGTACGTTTAAAATGTCGTTTTGTGGGACATTAGCAATAATTTCCAAAGGGCGGGACCAACATCTGGACCTGGAATTACTCCAACAAAAGAGGTTTCTGCATCACGTTAGAATGCGGTAACACTGAGCCACATGATTGATATAGGCATTATTTACAAACACTTAAAAATTGTTAGGCCTATATTCCTTGATTTAACACAGAATTTATATTTTCATATATTCATGTATTCAGGTATAAGCATCAATACACAATGCATTGGTTTACAAATATTACTTATGGAATATACATTAAAAAAAAATATTCAACACAAACATTATTATTTTAGATTAGGCCTAGCTTATTAAAGTAAAAAGTATATAGGCCTAGTTTATATAATATGACGTCATATAGGATCTCTGGTTATTTCCGAAATTCAGCTATTGCCACAGCTAAGTGGTCATATATTTTTCTATCGTATTTCCTGCCGTCAATTCCACTGCATTAAGTCTTGATGAAACAGCTCCCTTATCACCTTTGCCTTGAACCAAAATCGATCGTGAACTAATTTTTATTCAAAAGTCAATCCCTGCCATGCGCGAAAAGTATGCATAAATAAATCACGTGATTAATAAACGAAATGTGTTTGCAAAATATATAATAATAAATACTGAATCAATCTATTCTAAAGTATAGAGTACTAAGCAGGAATACACCGAGTTTATCATCACCCACGCAATCACATCTCTGTCTTCAGTAAATCTCGGATTTGCATATCCAGCGCCCTCACAATACCGAATGCGTAAACGAATATGCGTTAGTACCAGTAAAACATACACTGGTTTTTAAAAAGTATTGGTAGTCAACATAAAATATTAATACTCACATATAAATTAAATATTCCGCTGCAAATAGTACGGAACTGTATATGTAAAACTAATATAGGCCTACACAATCTACAATATGTGTTATACAAATATATAATAGTATATAAAGCGAACAAAAGAAACTGGTGAAAGTATTTTCGTGGCCGGATAGATTGAATCTAATCCTGATTACTGGGTTTTAATGAAATACTTTAGATAAGTTTTAAAGTAAGCTCCGGAGGAAAAAAAAATGTGGATATGTTGTACAACTCATTATTCTAAGACACAAAACAAAAACCATATTTGACGAAACTCGGTAACGGTTAATAAGATACAGATTTTGGAATATTTAAAAACTGGGGGTAAAAGGTGGAAAAACGGTTCTACCCCCTTAGCATTTTAACATAGTCAATTTGAATGGGCCTATATCAGTTACGGCAAAGGGATACATGGATACCTGTATATTAATTCTGGAAATAGCAAAAAATGATTGCATCCAAAGCCTAAATATAGAATCATCGCAGTTCTTCAATTGTTTTCAGAACATATGGTTCAAACTAGAATTTAATTTATACTATTATCAATACAAGCCTATGCATATAGTGAATTATTATGTAATTGCATACATTATAGGTATATGTTACAGTAACATGTATACAGCAAACTAAAGCCCAATATAATGGGCGAGACAAAATATTGCTTAAATCCGTAGCTAAGAAGTTTGACGCAAGTTCAAAGGAAACGTCCGAATACAAAATAAACCGTTAACTCATTAATTGAGGCAGTGTTTACATTGGCATGTGTTTTGAGTGGAAATAGCATTAGAAACATGTGTTCAATTCGATGATTAATATTGTGGAAAAAAACAACACACATCACGTCTTTCTTCTATTTCATATAAAAGTAAAAGCAAGAATATAATACTCTTTGGTAAAAGTATATAAAAATAACAGGATAGAGTTAATAAAAGGCTTGCCAGTAAGCCAGTAACTTATTCAGAATGGGAGATATCCGTCATATACGGAGTTAATATCACTACAATATTGATTTTTTACATGTAATAATGATAATGAAGATATATATAATATGAAAGAATTTAGAATAAAAGACGTACTCTACGGTGATTTGGTTCCCACTTTTCTACAGCCTCCTATCGGTTTCTATGGGAACCTTTCATTTTAAACTACTATAATTTACTATAACTTACAATTTTATCATAAGACTATTGTAAATTATATTTTATATTATGAGAAAACGAATAAAGTTCATTTTATGTTATGGTAAGTGGAGCAATGAAGTACGGTTGGTAGTATTCTATAGCCCAACTATTCCTCGCTCTGGAACCTAACTATTTCTAAATTCCATCACTGTTATATGAAATTTATGTAAATGATTAGGTTAATTGTATATTTGTTTTGTAATTCAATTCGGTTAATAGCATATGATGGCTACGGCAGAAAATTTAATCTCGAATCTTGTATCTCTACTCCTTTGCAGACATGGCGAAAATACGATACTGACAAAAGCGGCTACATCGAATCTCAAGAACTAAGCGTAAGTTAAAACATACAATTATTTGAACTTTAATTGATTTGAAAACTAGAATACAATTGAAACTAATGTATTTTTTATCCAAATCTTGTTAATACACGTTGGTAAGCCGATGGGCCTAGAGTGTATGACGAATTATTTGAAAAATATTAAAATACAGTTACACCAAGAGAATTGTCCTATTTAATTGCAAACTCCTTTAGACAAAGAGTTTGGAATCGTCTATAACGTAAAATTAATAATCCACGGTATGAATTTCCCTAAAAGTAGACTCCAAATACAATTCAAATAGTTTAGGCCTACTAAACATTTAAAATTAGTGGGGTTTTTTTTCTTTTTGTTTCTTGTAAACATTTATAGAAATTTCTAGAGGACGCACTTAAAAAATGTGGCAAAGAAATAACTCCAGATAAATTGCAAGAATATACACAAACAATGGTGAGTATTTTTTTTTTAACTTTTTACTAATCAATTTATTTTTTAATATGTTAGATGTGATTGTAGTAAATGAGTTGTAAATAAGTTGTATAAAATCGTTTAAAGAATCAGTCATCATTAATCACAAATCCCTAAGACAATCAAGTTAACTAGATTGTACTTGATATACAACGATAATGAAGACCTGATATTTATCACATGATGGGGAATTTCAACATTGACATATTACCTTTATACGATCCCTATTTATTGATTTCAGTTTGGAAACTTTGACACTGAATTGTACTTTGTAATCGGAGTTGGATTACGGAAAACTAATCAGACAGAAATATTCAATTATGTTTGCACTTTGTCTTTCTTACAGTAATTAATAAATAATAAGTAGTTTTCGCCGCACGACGTTAACCTTAACGGATGACGTCATAATTTATTCATCTTGAGTTGCGGAGTACGTTAATTTCAGGATTTTACGTGCTCGACGTACGTTAATTACGGGTTTGCGCATGCGTATTTTGATTTGTTTACTAAAGGGGCGAAGCTATCGCGTTGCATGTTGGGTACTAACGTTAAAGTCAAGGTTAACGTCGTGAGGCGAAAATTACCTAATGAACTGTTTTATTTTCTTTCTCTAACCGACAGCTATCTTTGTATGACTCAAACAATGACGGGAAGTTGGAACTCAAAGAAATGGCAAAGTACGAACACTTTTCTGTAACTACCAATAGGGAGCTTTCGATTGCAAGAGGACGGTAGGACGTAGAACGAAATGACGTCACTAAAAGTCATCTGCGCATGCGAGAACGTTAAGGTCACCTCGTCGAGTAGATTCTGGAACACAATTTGGCCAAATCTACGTATACAGAGAGCGTAGGACGCCAGGTAGGACGGTCACGCCTGAGTGATTCCGTTCTCGCGTTGCGTCGTTGCGCGCACAAATCGAATCGAAAGCTCCCTAATGTTCGTCTGTATTGCATTTTTATACCACCTTTATACAAGGTGACCCTTCCAGCTCATCCGAGAATATTTAGGGACCCTTTAAAAGAATTGAAATAAAGCGATGCATTATCTACGTCTCTATGAGGAGCTCAATGAGTGGAAATATCGTTATTCTAATTGTGTAGCTTTCTATTTTATTATTATTATTATTATTATTATTATTATTATTATTATTATTATTATTATTATTATTTATTATTATTATCATTTATTATCATCATGTTGACGTAATGTCACATTGTTTTCTTTTAAATTCATAGATTGCTACCTGTAAAGGAAAACTTCTTGAAGCGTTTTGAGGTATGATTATCTGTTAAAAATGTCACATGACCAAATTCATCATTGCACATAGCTTAAAACACTGCATATCTGCAACTAAGGAAGTCTTAAATAATTTAATAACTATGATTTGCGTGTCATGGACACGTTCTTCATAAACGCTACTTGCTAGAGAGCATATTTGAAGTTGCATCGAAAAAATAATCACTCGTGTGAACTTCACTTTGGAATGATTGAAAATCTGTGTCTGCATGCATTCAATATCAATCTTAGTATCTTCAGGAATATATTTCCCATCAGGTGTTTAGGAGACCCATGTGTCAATGTTCCAGGATATAAACAGACCTTTATACGACTATCGTTATTGAAACTGTTGAAGCCCATCTTCTTAGAATATCATCCGTCATTTTTATAACAATTCTCACAAATAGTAATGACAAATAATGTCAATCAATACAAAGTAGTTATGAAGATTGCATCTGACATTTGTCTATAAAATATGCATCAGGAATTCAGATAATACAAATAAAATAAATTTTTGGGTAGCAATTTGTTTATATTAATATTTCATATTAATATTGCCTATTTACGTAGTTCACAAGACTATTATGGTTTTACTGTTATCATGTTCATCAACTAACATCAATTGCTGTCGTTCATGATAGTGAAAATATATAAATAATAACGAATTTGAGGAATAAGAAGGGCATATTACTGAAATCAAAGCTTGTGGGCCGCAACAGTTAAATATATAAATAAATAAATAAATAAATAAATGTAACAAAATCGACAATGTTATGATATTGTTCATATTCGTTCATGATAGTGAAAATATATAAATATAATGAATTTGAGGAATAAGAAGGGCATATTACTGAAACCAAAGCTTGTGGGCCGCAAAAGAAAGATAAATAAATAAATAAATATATAAATAAATATATAAATAAATAAATAAATAAATAAATAAATAAATAAATAAATAAATAAATAAATAAATAAATAAATAAATAAATAAATAAATAAATAAATAAATAAATAAATAAATAAATAAATAAATAAATAAATAAATAAATAAATAAATAAATAAATAAATAAATAAATAAATAAATAAATAAATAAATAAATAAATAAATAAATAAATAAATAAATAAATAAATAAATAAATAAATAAATAAATAAATAAATAAATAAATAAATAAATAAATAAATAAATAAATAAATAAATAAATAAATAAATAAATAAATAAATAAATAAATAAATAAATAAATAAATAAATAAATAAATAAATAAATAAATAAATAAATAAATAAATAAATAAATAAATAAATAAATAAATAAATAAATAAATAAATAAATATAAAGGCTGTATTTGCTCTGTCTCTTATACACATCTAGATGTGTATAAGAGACAGCCCATCAGGTGTTTAGGAGACCCATGTGTCAATGTTCCAGGATATAAACAGACCTTTATACGACTATCGTTTTTGAAACTGTTGAAGCCCATCTTCTTAGAATATCATCCGTCATTTTTATAAATAAATAAATAAATGTAACAAAATCGACAATATTAAACAGTTAACAGGGGATAAATCTGGTCAAGTCACATACTATTAGTACTATTTTTCTGCCTCAGAGTGATTGGTGTGTGGTAGGGAGGGTTATGCTGAACTATGTATTTTTTTCGCGGCCTGTAATACTGTAAATGATTTGTGTCACGCATCCCTCTTCATCAAAGTATTGTTACACTTAGGATGCTTTATAAACTGAGTCTCATTATGAGGCTTAGAAAATGGAGTTGTTTGGGTTTTTTAAGTGGTGAACAAAATCCTCGTAGAACTTGAACCCATCACTCCCTGGACTTTAAGGCAAGCACCCACTAGCAACTACAGCTTCACTTCTCTGGGGTGTTCATGCATGTTCATCAGAAAGCATTGCAGCTATGCGTGATATAACTACGATTGGTTTATTATTAGGCTTAATAAAAATCCAACTAAAACACTGCTGCATGTACGGAAATTGCTTACATCAGCAATTGTCAGCTTTTGTAGTCATTGCTTGAAATTATTTCGTACAGTGAATAAATGTCAACCTAGGTCAAATTGTGGTTGCTATGCCAACGTTAATGCATGGAACATATGTAAATAGGTAGGAAACTGGAAAAAATGGGTGAATATCTAAATATCAGCTTAATGCAAAATGAAGTAATATCATTTGTATTATAAATGATCCTCAACAATACAAAAAATAAAGTGGTAACCTATAGATTAATGTAATTTATTATTATAATAATAAATTAAACGCGAATGATAAAATGTATGTCAATCTTTTCAATGACATGCCCAAATTAACTAATATTACTGAAATTTGTAAAAAGATAAATATCTCCTTTTTGTCTATAGACAAAATGTGCAAAATCGGTAAGTAATCTGTAAACTTGTTTTTGTAAATTCGGAATCCCTCTAGCGGTTGCACTATGACATGGGCACGTGCATGTTCAAGGCCATGTATCAACAAAATGGCGTCAGCATGGGCAAAGGTCAAATGATCAAGTAGATACATATTTCGATTTTTATATTCATGTATTTTGTGAAAGAATGCTCTCTGCAGATTCAACTGTGTTTGATATACATACATATGTAGGCCTACAAAATAATATAAATAACATTTATCCATTTCTCAATATTGCTTCAAGATCGTCAAACCAAGTTCAATGATAGGTCTATACTATTATTAACGCGAAGTTATTTTTAAAAATAAATAAAATAATAAATAATAGAAAATCTAAAAGAATATGCAAACTAACTACAAAATTACGCATTTTCAATAGGAATTAATCATGTATGTATCATATATCAAACACTTTATAATATAACAAAGTTATAACGCAATGAATCGACTGATGTTGGAGATTTATTCCAAAGGGCACTTTTTCTACTACAAAGCATGTCTATTTTTATTATTTAGTTTTATTAAGAGAAACGTATGATTTGATTGTTTTCGCGCAAAAACTAATATACTACTTCTCTCCAACACCCTTTGTCGTCTGCATTCTTTCTGTCAGGGACCTCTTATGCCGAGCAAAGACGTGAGTATGGCATGCGTGAAAGAGGAAATGTTTTACACCGATTCCAGCTATTGCTATTTCTTTTCATTTGGACTGAAATTATTCATAATTTTTTATCCATCCAAATCTTAAGCATGATACGTTTTATGCCATATCTTATAAAGGCTGTATTTGCTTTAGCATGGTCATTTTTTTCAGCATGTTTTTTTCTATAATTTATTTTTCCACATGATTATGGAATATATTTAGCGCTTTTTAAAATAGCGCCATCGTGCTGCTGCCCAAATATTAGCATGACTTTAGTGTCTGTTGATAGTTCGACCTTAATGGTACAAATATTATGGAAGTTGATGGCAAATTGGAATAGAAAGAGTTAATGCTTGAATTTTATGAAGCTGTAGATGACGTCTTCACCACCACCGCCGTTAGTTTATAGTGTTCGTAAGATGCATTTTCTAATGGTGTTTATTTGGCTGTGATTATCCCGTAATAGACTCAGTACTATTAGAAGAAGCATTCTAGTATGTAGGCATTCGTATATACAAATAACTCTAAATTACTGTATTTATTACTACCATCAATATTACTATTATTATTTTTAAACAGCCAATTACTATGTATTACAAAATTCACTAGAATTTCAGTTTGCATAAATATACAAAAATAATAATTTTATCTGTGGATGATTTCTAATTTAGGCCTTAATTCCTAATATAACGTTAATATTCATATAATAAAAACAATGTTTGACTTCTAAAGCCATATCAACCGACAGAGGCCTATTCAAAATGTTTAAACAGTTTAATTCACATATTTATCTGCTGTCCGGTATTATAAATTCCATGTTTTCACTATATAACTTTACAAGCAGTCATCCTGTATATTACTTCATTCAGTGGCGTATTTTTATGTCACCATTTAAAGCTAGTTATATCAACCAACCATAACAGACCTATAAAAATAACAATACTATTTTTTTCTATATTTATAGGGACACAAGACTCTTAGCAAGGCAGATTTCGAAAGAGTATTTAACCACTACGATCGGGTATGTAAACTTAATGAACATACAGTACGATACCAATTTCCCGCAGCCTGCGGTTAATTATACGCTATCGTTATGTTTTACTGCCAGTCTCAACAGAAAATATTTGATCGACTTTAATAATGGTGATGGTGGTGATCCTGATGATGATAATTATTATTATGATGATAACGAAGACGACGATGATGATAATGATGGTGGTGATGGCAGTGATGCTGCTGATAATAGTGATGACGATAGATTTGGTTTTTTTTTTTTTGGGAGGGGGGTTGTTTTTTTGTTTCATTGTGCGCAAACTGCACATACACAGCTTATTTCAATTACGGCATAATATAAATACTGTATTAACAATACTATGGAAAAATATAAGACCGTAATAAAGGTCTAAACAAGAGAAACCCAATTTCTTGTCATGTTTGAAGAATAAAATAAACTTAAAATGCTCCATTAACGAATAATTATTGTAATAACCTGCCTCTGTGCACTTTACATTATTACCCACGGCCCTTGGATCAAAAATCCCCTCATGGGGATCATTGTGCTATAAGAAGCTAGAATTTGTATTTGATGCTAGCAGACCCACTTACACTCCTGGGTGGAGAAGCAACTTGGATAATGTTGCCTGAAGACGCAAGTGAAATATTCTTTATGACTCAAACTTCTACAAGGTTAAGAGCTCGAACCACAATCGCCCTCCAAACTAAAGCATTGTTAAATTGTCTAAAACAACCATACATCATAAAAGTTTAATCAAACTTGTCTGTTGTGTCTGAAAGATAATTATTTGATAGTATGACCTAGCTGTAGGATGGAACCAGAAATAAGCTTAATTCAAATATGTACAGACATACGTGGTTGATTGAAAATGTTTGTTTGTTAGGATGGCAACGGTATGATCGAAGGCGACGAACTGAAAGGATTCCTGAAGGATCTTATGGAACATGAAGATGATGTAAGTTGATAACAATTAAACAATTATCAATTATGATCTATCACTAATGTGTTATGGCAAAGGGTATTTATCTATATTAATTACAGTACGGTGTATTATTTCAGTAGAAAGAGTTAATGAAGAAATTCTTTCAAATGATATATCCAAATTATAAAAAAAAACAATACTGAACTAATAAGTATACTAAAGGGCATATTAACATAATTTTACAGGCCTACTTAAGACACTGGCAAGTCAAGTACTGTATTGATTGTTTTGTCATTGTCAAATTTATGCATTACCTTATTGACCAGCAAATACGAAGTTAATGTTTTGAAAGCGTTTGGCGTATTGTTAAACGTCATCAAAGCAATGTTGTAAAATTGTTATAGTTACCGTATGTCAGCTAAAAGGTCTCGTGCAAACTGAGCAACTAACATATTATGTATATTACATTCAATATATGTCATAAATAAACGTACCACCGTGGTTCAATCTTGCATAATTACGTACTTTATCTATGGGCCATTTATATTTGGGAAAGTGTGTAATTATGTTACCGTATGCCGACGATATGTGCAATAATAATATCTGTGGCTATTGCTTTATTTATGCTCAGTAAATTTGCCCATGTTTAACATATGCTTGAGTATATATTTTGTTTTGACTTTATATTCCGTTTGTATTGTTACTTCTACCTGCATATCCTTTTCTCTTTGCCATCACAGATTACACCTTTCAGCGTTGAGTTCGTTTTTCTTTGAATTTGGTTTCCGTTTCAATTTTCTTTTGCTCCTCGTTTTACAAGACACCTAGATATAAGTTACTATCTAGAAAACCCAATCTGACACTTGTTTGTTTTTTGTTTTTTTTTTCTGATGTCTTCATCTGAGTCAACATCTTTCGTTCTTCTTTACAAAATTCTTGACATTCTTTCTTAAAAAATATTCTGAGTTCAGTTCTGATCGCCCAGTGGTAAGCACCAGTTAGTATTCATCCTCTTCTTCTCAAAGCCTCCCTCAAAGTTATCCACTTTATCTTCACAAACACACTTCCATAAATGAATGACGCCATTCAAAATATCTGCTGGTAAAATAGTCTTCCTGGAGCATAAAAGGGTACCTGGTGGGGTTGCCTGCTCCTGAGCTGATTACCAGCAGCAACACTTAAGCATGTGGACCCAATGAAAAGGGAAAATAACTACGCTTTATAACCTCAAGGAAGAGGCGCATTATAAACGCCTATACCAGTATCAGTACTAGTTCCAAAGTTGTTCAGTTTTAAATTTCCACAGAGCTTACAAAACATTTTTATTTCATTCCTTGCACACATCAAACTCTGTGCACATTGATTGAATTTAGTGGTGATCCCTTTTCTGTTTTGAATCAAACACGGGTGTTCTAAAGGGCATAAATGCTTGCTCAAAAGCGACACTTCGTTCTTGAATCTGTTCTCTATATTCTCAGGACATCGACATGCAAGGTCTTGAGGAAAACACAAAAGCATTGCTGGACATCTGCGACGTCAATCGGGATGGCAAAATTCAGAAAGAAGAGCTTATGTTGGTCTTGTGTTCCTAATATGTTTGTGAAAAAGGGAACAGTGACTCGTTCAGTACAGTATATGTTTGTGTTCTACTAACACTTAATGTTTCTATGCTTATTCTTATTTGTATAATGGGATAGTATTGGTCGTATAATATACAAACATAAAGGGAAATTCTTACCATATATAGGCCTATGTACATATATGGTTACTTCTTGACAATTTCTAATGGGATTTTTGTGAGTACTATAAGCGTTGATCATGCTTAATAATATTAGCATTGTGATTGTAAGAAAGTTTTTGATTACATTAATCTAGCCCGCCAAGATATTTTCCACCTTGAAAGATGCATCCTCGTATATGTAGTGATTTCAGTTATTTAGAATGATACTTTTTCTTAATAAAGTTGTATGATTGCAAAGAAATTAATATATATTATAGTTCTTTTCTAATAATATTTGATGATTTTCATTTGTTTTTGATATTGAGAAAAAGTTATTTTATTGAATTTAGATTGTTAAGTATATTCTAGCAATTATTCATTTTTAATTATGTAGTAATGTAAACATTATACTTATGCAGTAAGATTAATGGAATAAAAGTTCTGGTAGGCCTACTCCAAGATGACAATGAACAAAATCCCCACAGTCCATTAAATACAATAAAATTTCTGTTGTGTATAACGCAGGCTAAGTCAAAAAAATACAGCGATGAAGACCTGGAAGAGATGTGCCAAATTTTGATGAAACATCTAGACTTAGACGGAGACGGTACCTTAGACTTGGTCGAACTGAAGATGTTGTTCTGCCCACTCGGTTAAGCGTGTAATATTTTAGTTAATATGATGAGCTGGAATTTAGTCAAATTTCGAACAGGTATTGTCAATCTCAAGATGAGGCACCGACTCAAAACCGCCCAATGTACAGCTCTTCTTACACAGAAGTGGGTATACATCAGGACACCAATGCTAAGGAAATTTCACTTGATTCCCAGCTCAATTTTAACTGAAACGGTCTGTAGGTATTTAGTTGTATCTTTTGGTGACACAGTATTCGTAGTAGTATCAATAAGGTAAAAGGTTAAATCACACAGTAGACTGGTAAAATTAAGTGGAAGATACAATGTCATTGGGATTTACATACTTTTTTCGAATTTCAAAAACTGCATCTTAAAATTTGATATTTTAGGCTTTACCGCTTCTGAGTTTTACACTGTTTTGAGTATTTCGATATAATATGTTTCTCAAGTTTTTAATTCCCACTTTTTTGTATTTTCATGTATCAAAGTTAGATAGACAATTATTCATAATTATACGTGTTGTTATAAAAATTCAAGATAATTATATCTAAATTATTTGATCAAATATTGATCTAACAACATAAACAAGGCCACTAATGTGCAATACCGCTATATCTTAATTCGTTTTGTCTATATAAATGCTTTATCTAATTACAAGGCTAGTTGCACAAAAGAATTAAGACATGCAAATAATGAATGTACCCTTCATACTTGGTGTTTTTGTATACGAAATTGTATCTATGCGTAAGTGCTTAGCATTCTGGAACATGTACTACTTCGACTTAACCACAAACAACATTACTATATAGTATTAGTAGGAAATACCTCGTTAATCACTGCAGTATTACCACCATCAACAATTATACACAACAGAAATGTGAGACAATTCACAATGTAAAGAGCATACAGATAAACGAAATCAGACAATTCACAGAATTCATTAAAAAAAAAACAATGCTTACCTAATTTGAATGTAGATATATACATTAGTGCATTTTATATAAAACTTTAGCTACTATGTTAACATAAATAAGAATTATGTAATTAGTATTTGAAAATATATCGTACTTATAATTCACGAGGGAACAATGGACTAAACGACTGTTAATTAATGGCAAGGTGTCACCAGATTTGCGTTAAAAACGCATAAAAATAAATGTTGACTCGAACTCATTGCATTCTATTTCAACTTTTTATCGGGATTAAGAAATTATCTTTGTGAATATTTATCAAATACTGAACAAATTTATTACTGGTATATTCTGTAATGTAGACCTCTAAGACCACCAGGAAAGAAATTTAACCGGGAATAGAATACCGGTAATGGATTGTACCAATTCAATCCTACCTCTAAAATGGAATTCACAAATTCTGTCATCGAAATTATAAGGAAAAACTTGTTTTCAGATGTACAGTCGCTGAGTAGTAAAACTGGTGACACTTAAGCTCGGCACTCACTGCGCCCGACGGTCATCGGCCGACGCGATTCTATGAAGAACGCAACGCCACGACGCGCGTGCGACGGATCGTTTTTAATGACGATCCGTTCAGACAGCCACCGACAAACAGCGTCGCATCGTCAAGGCTCACAGGAAGCAGAGTTGAATTTGTCATACGATGCAGTGAGTGCCCGGCTAATGGCCCTGTCACACCTTCACGATTTAGTCAGCGTATGCCAAACGTATCAAAATTTCTCTAAAACGCTGGCATACTGTGAACTACCGATGCTTTTTTCAACTCTGGGCGCATTCATAGCGTATTCATAATGTATTGGACGTATAAACAAAGTATTAGTAACTTATATAGAACGTTTTGATTACAATATAGAAAACTTACACGAATGAATGCTTAGCGTGTTGCCGGCGTTCACAACTTATGCCCAGTGATAGTCTACCTTATGCACAGCGCGCGGCAGCGTATTGCCGATAAATCACGTGACGTAGCCTATAAAAAGACTGCCGCTCGTCGATTGAAATCATAACCGCACTAGACATCGCAGTATCAACATGACCATATTGACATCACCCCATTTTAATATACCCATTCCCCTAAACGCTGCCAATACGCCATTATATAAATACTTGACTTTAGAGAGCAGCTTAGCACAGACGGCTCAACAGGTGGTAGCGCTGAACCATGGAGATCTCTAGGTCCCCGGTTCAATTCCCATCGCTGCTCTCCTTGTATTTCAGCTGGAGGGCTGAAATGCAGGTTGCGATAGCGCACCATCTTTCGGATGAGACATTTAAGCTGTTGTTCCTGTGTGCATTGTGGCCCAGGTGCATGTTAAAAAACGCAAATCGCCACGTCACCAGAAGGCCTCACCATTTTTTGAGAATTTCGTGGGTTATCCTGGTTGTTTACATACATCCATCCAATACTCCACTATATAAATATGAAGTTCAAACACGTTACGATTTTAACACTGAAAATGTCTGTTCAGTGAATCAGGGCAAAAATATCCAAAAGTGCCTTAATGATATGATTAATACAGTAATTGAAGTCCATGCGAATTGGCTTGGGGTAACTGATTGGTCAAACTATCATTGTGACGAAAGTATCTGGCCACGGTTTCAACCCACTTGGAACTTTAGAAAATTCTTAACAACAAGGAATGACATTTGCTATATTTGTTCAATGCTTGACAATGCCATCATGTGTTTTGATGGTAATGTTAACAGTAACGATCAAGTAGACATCATCGATTTTTCAAAGATTTATTTCTAGGAAAAAAAAAAAAATTGTAATGAGATCATTAATTTTTCTTCTTCACATACTTGAAGCATGTGACATAGAAATTAAGGTGTTATGTTTCAAGTTAAACAAAACTGGAGGGTTTAATTTCGACCTGTTGCAAGCCAGATTCACCTATACTAGTAGAAAGATAGTATAAAACTGCAAGAGGTCCGACTCTCAGGGTTTCGTTGGAATCTCTAAAAAAGTACTACTACGAACCAGAGGGCGTCCTTCGAAAAAACGTAAACGAAGTTCGTAAATAGGGCGCCTCCATTCGCGTGGTAGTATTTTTTTTAACTTTTCATTGCGCGCATACAAAATCACTGCTGTCGGACTGTTGCAATAAGTTGCAAACCTATTATAATTAATAACTAGTTGCTTGGTAAAAGTGTCACATTACAGTCAACAGCTGATACAATTCCTTGTATATTCTTTTAGTTTATTCATAACCAACAAAGATAACAATTTCCAATCAAAGTGATTGGTAGACTATTAAATTTTATTTGACAAAAACATGTGACATGCCTAAATATGGTCATGATGACATCACTTGATGACCATATATAGGCACATCACGAATATAAACTGGCATACAACAGCTTAAGCCTCATAATGAGAATTAAATGAGAATTAGATTGTGTAGAGCCTCTTGTTTATGAGTATCTTAATTTCCATCCTGTAATTGGTTATTCACTTGCTGTTGGATGTGTAGGCAATGAAAGAAAATATGTTGGCATTCCTTACATAAATGTTATCTCTTGTGTGCTAATCCTATGCACCTTCCCATGTAAAGATGTAGCAGGCAACACTTACATAGAACTCACTAAGGAAAATTTGGCAACATTTTCCACAAGTTTACAACAAACAAGATCTGGTAATCCTGAAAGCTCTGATGAGGGCAGTATAATAGAGGCGGTAGAGTATAATATTGGCCCTAAGGGCCGCCCATACAAAAAACGTATATTAATCTATCAGCCGAGTGTTTCTAGGGACTACCATACAAAAAAGATCTATTAATCAATCAGTCGAGTGTTTCTAGAGCTCCTCATCGGAGCTAAAAAATAAAGAAAACAAGTTATTTTAAAATATTGTTGAGTTATTTATTAGTTTATTCCTTTTTCTTTAAACTATTGTAGATAAGTCTCGCGGGAGGAACAAATTTTACTTAACAAGCTTTGCTTCAGTGTTCCTCTCACCACACTGTATAATGTAATGTAATGTTTTTGCATATCAAATGAGTGAATAAAATAATTGAATAATATATTTTAAAAAAATGTTTTACAAGTGACCACATAATGTTGCTTTTATTGATTATAGAGTCTTACTTTCGCAAGAAGACATCCACATGTTTGTTGAATTCCTTCGCATATCGCAGATGGATGTTATGCTTTCCATCCAGAAAGTTAATTAACCTAAAGAAAAGTAAAAAAAAAAAAAATCAAAGATGCCTTTTATATATAGACTACGAAAATATATGTATATATACAATATACATTTTCACTCACAACAGAATAACTAAGATTGTCAAAAGCTAAAGAATATTTATCTTGAACATGCATTGTTTACAAACAATATACAGTAATTTGTTTTTGAGAATCAGCATGACAAAAATACTTCAATAAAACAGTACTGCATGCTAATGGACATAGCACATTTGGTCAAAACTAGTAGAAATCGCTAGTAGAAATATAACCATTGAGATATTTAGTTTTATTATGCAAAGGTAATCTCCATGTGTGAAATGCTGGTCAGGCTTGGAGAAAACATTTTTTGTTTTTCCAACAATAAAAAGTTATCTTTATAAAATCATAAAATGAAATGCCTCTAGCACCAAAAGATCATCTTTGCACTATACAGTACACTCGAACCCAACAGTAGTTGTCTGGCAAAGGTAATGCATAAGGGAAAGTCTACATTCTCAAAGCTTTCATCCTGCAGCTTTCAAGCAATGAAATGAAAAATTCTATATGTGGCAAATAACGTTTTCTCTTTCTTTAAGGACCTGTTTCTACTGGAAAGAAAAAAATTGATAAAAAAAAAATCGCTTTTTCGAAAAGCTTTTTCTTTTTGCAGTACAAACGGGTCCAATTTCAAAAAGCGATTAAAAAAAGTGAATAAAACATGCAATGGATAACGTGTTTGAACGGCAAATAACCGATTTTGGCTGAGCACCTTTTAGCTGCAACACAAAAAGCGATTATCAGGTGAAATGTGACCTCCAGGTCAAACCATTGCTAAGCTAGATCGTACCAGGCACGAATACTCTAATTCAGTGAGACAACCAAATTGTTATGTTAATTATGAATATTTCTATTTAATTTCTAAGAATATTTAAGTAAAATTGAAATATCTATGCTAATAACATGTATTATCCTGTAGCTAAAGAATGAAACACCAACTCAATCTAACATTAAAAATAATCTATGGGACATTGCATGAGTGAATGAAGAAATGAATGATAAACGAATTATAAATAAAAGAATGAATGCACATGCATTGACCAGGAGTGGATACCGTCCAAGGTCTGTTTCTCCTTGAAAAGCAGGCGCCCCATAACATATTCTTACCTTGAGCCCATAATGTTCTGTTGAAGAAATCCTGGATGTATTTTTGGTACCATGGGATCTTTTTCTCCATGCAATATCAAAGTGGGGCATCGTATCTTACGCACTTGTTTGCTACAAAGGTCTCCTTTGTTCTCAGTGTATATATTTGTTATACCTTCGACCCATCCAAGCCAGGTCTGTTGGAAATACTCCTCACCATACATGTCTATCATTGGCTGCTTCATCCTCTGGCTCCAGTCATTAATGTTTTTAGTTTCTGCAAATACAAATTAAAGCTTTTTTTTAATCTTTCTGTTTTTTCTTTATTTTATTGATTTATTAAAAAAATTAAACGAAATCACAACCTTATGGCTGAATTGCACGATATTTACAATAAAAAAGTTGAATCAACAAAATTACAGGAAAAAAGTTTTTACAATATGGTAAGGAATCAATTATATAAATAGCACTAATGAGAATTGTATATTGTAATTTTAAATGTTATATATTTCTCTAGCACGTTATGTAATACTTCGTCTCAATATGAAACAAGGAATGGTCAACTTGTGAAGAAAAACAATCAATGGAGTCTCAATCAATCTTAAAACAACTGACCAATCAGAACGGGGCCAATATCACTCACATGTCCCAATCATGTAAATCGGGTTTTTTTTTATATTTCATATCTTTATTATGCTTGTATGTTTCATAGTTTTTATCAATTTGTATTGTATTTTTATATATGTGAGGGCCCCAAATGATCAGCTTTGTTGGATGGGCTATCTCTCCTTAAATATGTTTTAAATAGATAAAGAAACACACAATTTTCCGTCCAATATGCTGTCGCTTTGATGGAATAATTATAAAACAAGGAAGCCTTACATTGATGGATGATAAATCAACCAAAACCATACAACCTACTAACATGTCTTAAACACACACCTCAGTTTTCCATAAGGTTATTATGTTTGTTTAACTATCCATACATAGCCACGCTTAAAACTAGTATCTAAAAATAAATAACTATAAATTAACTCACTGTCATACATATCCAAGTCTTCTTGTGCTACAAATGCATTTGCACCCCAGATGACTAATTTTCTCATATTTTGCGGATGTTGAGATGCTAGCTTCAGAGCAGCAATACCACCATCACTCCAGCCAAGCACTGAGAATGTTTCATACCCCAATGCCTACAAACAGATCATACAAATCCAATGTTAATTCTGTTATTATGTGTTAAAATGAGCAAAACAAACATACAAACAATAAATAGTTCTATAACATTATTCTTTTTGGTTGATACTTAAATCAACCATTATTATTGGCTTTTTGGTTTTTGTTATTCTCTGATTTTGGGCACTTTGTATCCTATATCAAATACTAAATGTATGACCCTTACCATTAAACATACGGTAGCAAGCTTTTGGAAAGATTAATATAAAAAGAAATATAGTTATGAATGGAAGAGAATTAAATAAATAAATAGCTGAAAGGTTGCATTGCTTGTTTGAAAACACTTTATTATGTTTGTCTCTCTCTGGTAGGAGGTGAATAAGTTGGGATGCAATATTTACTGAAACCAATCATCTTCAACACTTTATAAAGCGGATAAAAAGTGGCAGAAGTGACTGTCGCTAATTTTATACTGAGAAACTAGCATATTAAAGAATGCGGCCGTATTGTATACTATAGTACAGAGAATCTATAATACATTTACTCATAACTTTGGTAATAGTTAAGTCGATTCCAGTAAATGACCCATCATTTTAAAGCCTACAATTTAAGGAATAAGAATAATAAAGTCAATTTCAATTTTTTCGTCACTGTTGCTGGTTTTGGGAGGGCAAGCCTCTTTTGGAAGATACAGGTGTGTACATAAATGATTATTACTATTATTACTGATATTTTAGTGAATTACAGAAACAAGGCTGTACAGTGTATAGCCTGATTCTGCACAATGGTGGATCACGAAATTCAGAATTTACCAACAGGGGTTCAAAACATGGGGCTGCTTATCAACAAGAGCACGCACATATTCGCTCGTGAACATAGCGTGTGCGTACAGTCCTTTGATCTTTACTGTGGTATCGACAATCTGATACTAGTTGAGAGTATAGCCGTCAATTATTAGTCTATGCATGCCATATGTTTTTTGGTGTTAGTTACTATTTTATGATTTTTGGGTACTTCACAATGTCTATTACATCTGATTTCCTTTGACCACAAGCTTGTTTAGTGCTTCTATAAACAACAAATGATTTGTGAAAATCAACCAACAAAATGAAAAGTTATAGCAAATGAAAAAAAAATGTTAATGGAAAAATTCATTAACCACTGCACGACACATGATTACCATGGCAACTGACACGTTTGGGTAATTCATCACACGTTGACGGTTAATTATAATTTGGTTGCTATGGTTTTTGTGACGATTAGGGTGTAAGGGTGCTTGACGCATAGAATGTCGATGCCTAGTTATACCCTTTGTTGGTCCCGAATTAATACCCAATGCAAGAGGAGAGATCTTACGGCTTAGGATGGTATAACTTGTGCTTTTAGGCTGCAATACTAGGAAATATAACAACAACATAGACACATTTGCAAAAGAATACCTTTAGCTTAATGACCTCAAGTGGAATATGCGGGTTGGGGAGATGCTCTTGGGGGTGTTTGTCGAAGAAGAAGGAAAAAAAATTCTAAAGGCTGTTCTCTCATTTATTAACAGACCTGCATCAAACTGTTTGCATCATCAGCATCTCTTTGGTAGAATTCCAATGGGAAGGTTCGGTCGGGTGGTCTTGACTTTCCATACCCTCGTGGATCCCAGCCTATGACTGTGTAAGTATCAGCATCAAATCCCCCCATCAGCTGAGGACCAAAATCTGTTGTCGCTGACCCTAATATCAATAAAATAAAATTATGATTTGTATCAGTTGTTTTGCAATGGTGATGAAATATTCCTAAAAAAATTTATAGTGAAAAAAAAAACACAATCATATAAATTTGATTAAATTATTCACATTGTTGGATTTATTCGGTGTAAACACCAAGAATAGCCCATGAAAGTCTAGAAGAAGACTTATTTCCAGTGGGGTCCTTCTGGTGGTGATTGGGCAGTACACCGGGAGACAATCCCCTACTCTTTTCTGAAGAGTGTACTGCATTCTTTCACATGCACATGGGCCATAAATGCACACGGGACCAACGGCTTAAACGTCTCAATTGAAAGACGGTGCGCTATTGTAACTTGTATTTCAGTCCTCCAGCTGAAACTCAAGGAGAGGCAGCGATGGGAATGAACCAGCAATATAGAGATCTCCACGGTTTAGCGCACACATAGTAGCTACTACCAGATTAACCGACTGAGCTAAGTTGCTCACTCTTTTAATATTATTATCAATTTTTATTAAATCCAAGTTCATATAACACAACAATTTGCATAAAGCAATATATAAAATTGAATTGAAATATAAAATTTTATTTAAAAAAAAAACTTGACACAGTGTAGACCCGACTGAATAAAGCTGTCCAGACTACATAATTTTATTTAAGACAAAAACATGTGATATGCCCAAATATGGTAATGATGACATCACATTATGACCATAATATAAGCATATAATGACTATATATGAACATACAACAGTTTTTTGTAAAAAAAAAAAGTCGGGAAGGGCTAAATAATAGATATGTTGTAAAATCTTACCAAGGGCTCCAGGCATGAGCAATATCGGATGATCTCCCCGTCCCACTTTCATATAATGTAAATTAACACCACTGACATCCATGTAGCCAGATGATAGGTTAGGTGAAGCACTACACAAGAAAAGAAATAGCAACCCAATAACTCATTTACATTGAGTAAAACCCTGTACAGCACTACCAAATTTTATTTGACAAAAACATGTGACATGCCCAAATATGGTCATGATGTGCTGCCATTATGACCATATATAGGCACACCATTACTATATATGGGAATACAACTGTTTTTGTCAAATAAAATTTTATTGTCAAGACAGAGCTTAAGAATTGAAATTCATTTTATGAATATTTCTTTTTATAGAAGCATTCCTCTTCAGCAGCAAAACACTAAACAAAAAGGTCAAAAAAGTCAAAAGAAAGAAAAAGAAACAAAGAGAAAAAAAGAAAGTCACAAGGGGAGAAAAAAAAGTGAATTGGCTATTTATGCTTAGCCTTTGAAAATTACTTTAGATTAGAAAGCAAGGCCTAGCTAGCATAAAACAAGACCTAGATAGCAGAAATTAGGCCCAGGCTAATAGTACTCTCAATGGCCTGGATCTTTTTAATTTTTATTTTGAACTTACTTGAAGTGCCTCTTCTTCCATCTATCTTGGGGTGGCTTTGGGTCAGAGGGGCTTTCAGTCCTTGGTATTAAACCCAATGATTATTTGATTACTGATTTGCAGGTGTTTATTGAACTTGCATTGATAGTAGCAGTGGTCGGGAGATTGTTCCAGTCTTTTATTACTCTTTGACTAAATGTATATTTTCTTCAGTTGATCCTTATATGTTTTTTTTTTATTTTTTTTTTTATAGTTTTAGTGAGTCCTCTACTCTAGTTGTTTTATAATAATCTTACACACTTATTATAGTGACTTAATAGATAGGTAGGCCTATTTCTAATTAACAGAGGATACTCATTAGTCCCTCAAAGAATTGATGTCCTAGGGCCTAGGACTACCTAGCCTCGCCCCTACCTAGCCTAGGCCTAGGTTTACAGCGAATTAAGTGGTACTACTAGTACTGTCAAACAATAATTAAGCCTAGCCTAGGGTAGGCTAGGCCTAGACTCTTACAGTAGCTCTAGGCCTAGTAGTAGTAGTACGCCTAACCTTATTGAGTAATTTTGAATCCATGGGTTGGAAATGCATACTCTTGCACAGCTTATATTATGTCGTGAACAACTTTGCAATGATTTGCCGGAACGAAATAATATTCTAATAACTTTGTGAAACATCTTTTCTTCAAAAAGTTCACGTTATTTACTAATGCGTGACAAAATCTAACCTTTGACATCAATCCAAACAATAATAGTATGGAACGCCAATGGAATCGCGTTACCCTAATGTAGTTATAACCAAAGAGTATAATAACAGCTCTTTGTTATAACGTATGTTTCAGACCTGATTTTATGGTTGATCGTGGTTGATCAATTAAAGGTGTCAGTGTGACCAGTGATGCAAATCAAATTATTCCGAGGCTGATGGGAAATTATGCTAAATTATGCCAAATGGTGAATTTCGAATAAGCACCCCACCCCCAAATGTTAAATTTCGAATAAGCACCCCCAAAATGTTCAATTTCGAATAAGCGCAAAAATGCAAACTAAACTATTTTTAATACTATTTTTTCTTCAGTGAGAATTTAATTAATTGTTGTTATAACCCGGATCTCTGTGCTTTGTTGGCATACTGTGTAGGCTATTTCCAATGAAGGGTGATTTATTTAGTATTGCAATTGTATACACAAACATTTAAAAAATACTTCCTCAAATAACTACCCCTCATCAACCTTCCTGAAATAAAGGGAGGTAAGTAGACAGCCACGACAAAAGTGATACAATTTAAAAAGAAGAGGCAGTAATGAAAAGTTAGATTTAATGCATTCAAAAATTTCCTTCGGGCCTTGCAGGCCCTTAGGATTTTCAAGCATTAAATCTAACCTTCGTATAATAATTTTCTTATAGTGTACTATGCAGAGCTCTACTAATTGCTTATTATTGGCGGTATAATTGGTATAATATAATTGGTATAATATAATTGGTATAATTGGTCTTGATTCCAAGACGAGTGATGGAATATTCTCTTTGAGAATGAATAAAGATTACTTATGACTTACGACTTATAGTAATAATTCGTTAAGAGCAAATATTTGATATCAGTCATGATTTAATATAGCGCCCTCTCTCCTCGATCTTGTAACATTTACTCCATGCTACAACACATTGCTACAACACAATGCTACAACACAATGCAGTAATACGGTAATGTGTGTTCTGATGGATTCATCTGCTAACCCAGCTCGGTATTTTCACTGGATAAACGCCTTTTACTGGAATCTATTACCTGAATATGTGTTAGCTACCTGGATCGAATGATATTAAATTTAACAAGTTTCCTAAATTATATTCTATCATCGTCGACGGTTATCACTCAACGTTTCAGGTACGGTATAATGCATGCCATTTAATTGACAAACTGCACTTATTACAGACCTAACTAATCTGATTTGTTTGTAGGCCCATGTTCAAAATTGCTACCATTGTTGTTTATTAATTGTTTGCATAAGCCTAAATATTTAGCTGGTTTGCCAGTGTGCATTATTGTGCAATGTTTTCTTCTAGGATAAGCCTATTGTTAAAACTCATTCATGCTTCATAATTGATAAGTGCCACACGTAACCATTACTATTCCATTATTGCTCAGTTTGTTTGAAACATCGTAGTCATAATCGTCCACTAGTATAATAAATGATGGTTCCTCAAGATTTCAGAACAAACGTGTACAGTGTTGCTTAGTGACCGCTAATTACAAGATCAATATTTTATCATTTTCCGATGTTGGTTTCTTTCTAATTAGGGACTTAACAGAGATACAAGTACTATAGAGGGAATGGATTTAAAAAAAATTAACAAAGCTACCCCTGTTGATTGTAGCCTAGGTATTAAGATGAATCGGTGTAGTCCTATCCTGCTGTAGGCCTACTAGAAGTGTAACCAAGGACTTAAAATACGTGAGAATAATAATAATAATAATAATAAATCGAAATTACAAAAATTTGACTGCGTGTGGTCAATTGCAAACCATTCTTCAATTGCTACATAAAGGTATAGCTAAAGGTACATAGTTCATCAACGAAAGTTCCTTATTATAGTTGTATGAAAAAATAGATCTCTGGTGGAAATCGAACCAACAGCCTCGGCGATCGACCGTTTAGACCACAGAGGCTCCAACGATATCATTAGGGATCTAAGACCGCTAGTCTCTCCCCCTTCAACAACATACAACGGAGCTAATATTCAAGCTACGTAAAATAGCTTAAAGGTAGCAGCTTTTTATATATTTCTCATACGCATATATATACGTGTAAACGCTGAAGGACACAGGCGTGTCAGAAATATTCGTCCTGAATATATTTTATGTCTCTATTATGTCAACGTATTCAATCGTTTCATTGGGGTATAAGAGACAGGTATATGAACACAATAGGGGTCCACAGTCTCTCATGAGTGTCCCCAAAAATATCATACAACCATCCAAAATCCCACAAGCAAAATTCTAACTCATCTCCCCAAATTCATTTTAATATCTCACCAGTGGTTCCGCAAAGTAAAGAAGTCTTCTGCCATCCAGGGTCATCCATCTCTTGCGGTAGGCCTCACTGCCCTTGGGTCCAGTCTTACACAGCCAACCCTCCTTGTGGAAGTCACGACTCAGCTGTGACCTCAACTGCAAGAAAAAAGAAATTCCAGCTTATGCAAGAGTATACTAAGTCAATTTAAAAGCAGGACACACACTGTCTCTTATACACATCTAGATGTGTATAAGAGACAGATATATAGTGGAGGATTAAACAGTGTGGTGATTTTTATACACACATCGGGCACAAAATGCGCCGACGCGATTCCCCATGATGAGAGGCGCGCACAACAGGATGGTGCTTTAATAGAAATCTGCTATGACAGCAGCTACCGACAATAATTAGACGGCATCGCGTCGTCAACAAGCGCTCACAGAAAGCGGATAATGATTCGTTGACCGGCCGACGGACGTACGACGCAGCGTACTGTATGTTTTTTATGACATAACTTTTCAAAACCTGGGGAACATGCGATGCCCGGCCACGAGGCTGACAAAATTTTAAAAATAAAGATTACAACCACATTTGGTCGACACTTCGTAAACAAGTGAATCGCTTACTGTATATTTTGTGCTGTCCTGTGTCCTAGGGCGGCCCCGTATGATAAATTAATAATAATATTAATATAATAGTTATATTTCGGTACAGTACTTACCGTATATTATACCAAGTATGTATGAGGTTTATATCGTTGTTGAAATGTTGCTATGGTAGTTGTAGTTGTAGTTTTTTAAATTCAATCTAAACACCCATTTGAACGTGGATCTGCATAGTGGAATTAATTACACTGTGAATATGGAAATGCCCAGTAAACGCAGACAAGCGGCGAGGATTTGTAGACGCATTTTGACATTTGAGCATGCAGAGCAGAGTAATAATATTGGATCAACATTGGATTTACCTTCAATAAACCTGTGGTATTTACCACTTAAACCTTTTCTATCGGCATTATGATTTATTACTCTAGCGATATACCATCGTCAGATCTCCCAGCATCATTATTATTATCTATTTTAAGGAACATGGGCTAAGGATTGCAAACTGCGAATGCATACTGTCTTGGAGTAAGTAAATAAAATAATAAATAAAATAAAGTAATTAAAAATGTAATAATAATAATAATAATATTGTTATGAAGTTTGGGAGTAGGGTTGCCTTTGTTCGTGTAGACAAATTCTTGATAACTTTACTTCGATGACGTGCAAGGAGGATGCAGGAGAGGAAAGGGATGTGCGCTTGAGATATTGGCTTAGCATATTGATGTATCGATCATGATGATATAGCACTTCGAATAATGTTAGGATCTGGCTATAAATAGAACAGAAATTAGAGTGATCTTTGAGTGAATTGATTGACCTTTGACAAATCATTCTTTAAAAAAAAAAATTAAGTTAGGCTTAATTGAAGTTTCCCTACTCTATAGATGCAAGTCTCATTTGAATGTTTCGTCTAATATCCCATGTCCGTGCTTTTTCTAAGTATTTTTTTCTTTTTTGTTCTCTTTATCTACATTATTGGATAATCCAGTTTATTAAGCTACATTTGCACTAGACACGATGAAGACACGATGATTATTTATATTCTTCACTGAGCGCATTCTTATCGTGTCGTCGTGCCATTATCGTGTCTAGTGTAATGCAGCTTTGGACACACACATTCTGACCCCTCCTTACACAAAGAACACCCCTCTTAAAAGTGGGCGCGGTCGTGCTTTGATTATAAGTTTTCGAAAGTCGTTCAAGGGGCGAAGCGAAAATTTAGACAATTTAGGGTTTCAAAGGCTTATTTAACCGATTTTAGAGTCTACTAGAAAATATGATAATTGTTTTTCTCCCTGACGAATTGTGCTTTGTGGAAAGCCCTCCCCGACGGGGGCCCTTCCCCTCCCCCTGATGGCGCCACCCTTTGAATTAGAATGGACATTTCCGCTAAGCCCCGCTCCTTGGATATTGTCGCTGAAACATACACAAACACGTACGTTTGTGAGACATGCGCGTATCCCTGACACTGTTCTTATCAGTTATTAAGTTTGATCGACACTCCGAAAAGGTCCATTATGCCGTAAAACTTCCTTCTTTAAAGCAAAGTATCCATTAAGCCACAGAGCTTACGGTATAAGACGAAAATTTGATCAAACATTGACTTAACTTTAACTGTAATGAGTAATGTCTGTAAACAGCTCAATCGTAAACAAACAAAACCATCCAGTGGGAACATTGCATACACACCTGAACAGTAATGCTGTGCCTCAGTATACCCAGAGTAAACGCAGTGGTGGAGATTTCATTTTTTGGAAGGTGGACGGTCAACAGGCCAAGTCAGGAATAGTATAAAATATGGAGAAATAAGACCAACCAATTTCTACTTATCCGTGAGATGTGTATAAGAGACAGGGCCTATACTGATGAAAATCAAATATACACCACTGCTGGCTTTTTCTAATTCATTTATAACTTAATTCTTTATAATCAATCTGTCTCAATTCTTAGTTCTTTCGAATCGACCACCTCTCGCTCATACCAATATTTCAAATCGCAGTCCCATTATTTTATTTAAAAAATATCCTTTTTTATTATTGATTTCAACAGATTAAAATCTTTATGTGGCATTCGACCTTCAATTTGTTTGCTATCCGAGACATTGTTTCTTCGCAATGTAGGACAACCATGCAGTGATGTGGTTAAAAATAGATGATGCCGATTGAAGACCTAGATCACTGAAGTAATTTCATATTCAACTACGCTACGGGTCTTTCAAACCACTGACACATCAAGCGTGATTTTTATGTGTAGATTTCGTTCACTTTGTATATTTGATGCTGCTTGATTAACATCAGTCAGTGGTCTTCGATTTCTTTACGAGTGACAGCTTCCGTATTGCTCTCAATCTAACAGGTCCTTTCATTGTCAACAATCCATCTTCGTTTTTTCCGAAGAGAACGCGTATTTTGTGTCACATTACGTTGAATATCTGTCATTATTAATAATTATATTTTCTAATCATGAGTGATTTTTATGAGAGATATTAAACAGTCGTGTTTCAAGGCCTAACCAGGATGCCAAACGCCTGTTGATCGCGCGACAATGATCCTGAAGTCTTAAGTGCGTTCATAATCCATTGAATAAAATTATCTATCGCTTGACGACAATTACGTTAGAAAGAGTCGAAGGAAATTAACGAGCTGAGTGTGTTTACAATCGCATGGATTTCCACCCTCCAGGGTTATCACTAATGCCGTACCAATGGCAAAGTCAGTGTACAATAGTATTGGTATCGGACGGTAGTGAGCTTTGTTTTAATTACTGTTATTGAACCAACACGTCTCATATGTTTATTCACTTCATTAATTATCTGTGATGCTGAACTTGGCAACGTAGCGGGAACTATATCGTGCACCAATATATAGTTACAAAAATGACGTCTGAAAATACTATACTCACAGAGTGTGTCCAAAGAACAGCCATGGTGAGAGGAGCAGACGATCTGAGCTCTCATATACCTTCAACTGCCTTTGTTACAATAATTATTGTTAGTTTTTTTGTTTTCACCAAGTCGATTTACGAGTACATAAAAAAACGTAGAACAAAATTAAATTTGATTATTGTAGGCTCGGGCCCAATTGGGCTAACGACTGCAATAATAGCGGCCCAGAACAAACGAATTTCTCGCATTACACTTTATGAAAGTAAACCTAGGCAGAACCTGTTTGTACGACCACAACAAATCGCCCTGGACAGACGATCTATCCACTTCTTGAAATCACTAAAGATAGACTTTAACGCTATTGAAGGTTGTTGGGAAAACGACCGATTTTTTACACGGGTCGGTACATTTCAAGAACACCTTTTGGAAATACTCAAGAAGCTGGATGCCGATCTGGAGATAAAGTTCGGATGCAAGGTAAGATAAGATGAACTTAAAAAAGTGTTATAAACACGAGCATTTTATGTGGCGCTTTGTAATTTGTAGATCTATGTGACAATAATACACGTTTACATAATAATAAGGTGGATAATGCTTGAAGCCACGCGTATGCAAAATGGTATTTCTATGCGAGAATAATAATATTGTCCCACTCGATGTTGATTTTTTTTTATTAATTGCATTTACAAGTACGTTGAGCATTTCCAATGCGATCGGTATAGTATGAGGGGTATTCAGGAAGATAAACATTGAAAGAGTTCGAATATAGATAAATTACATTTCTCATTAATCTAATATCAATATTTCAGCATCATAAGTGCAGGGCAGGTGCTTCTTGTAACTTTAGGATTACCTACAGCAAAGCAAAATAAAATATTGAATACAGCTCCCGTATTAATATAAAACTCCCGTAAAAATATACATTGTGAGGTTTCGTCTGATGGAATTTTCCGAAGACTTAGAGAACTTAGAGAAGAATTGCTCATTACTAAATTTACAGAGGAGGAGGATTAGTCCACGTGGGTTCATCTTTTGATTGAAATATTGAAAAGGAGGAAATTATTGCCAATTTTGAAAGGTTATTACGAAACACTCTGAATGGTACTGGCTTGCCACAAAGGGGCAGCGCCTTAGAGGTCAGTAACTAAAGGGGAATAGGCCTACTTGTCCAACTTTCTATTATGAGCAGCATCAATTAATCAATTAAGTATCAAATGGAACGGTGAGTTCCATGACAGTGAGTTTTCTTAAATCAGGCCAATAAAGGCAGATATCGGGAATGAGGTTTTTTTTGGATACATTCTATTGTATTGGGATTGTTGAACAATGGAGATTTGCAGAGGCGCTGGCGAGGAGGTCGCAAAGGATAAGAGGAGGAGATTTAACAGTTTTGAAATATATATACATATATATATATATATATACATATTTATATATATATATATATATATATTAGATAAAATAAAAACTCTTATAGGAACATATTTTTTTTTTTTTTTTTTTAAAGGCAAATGGGAAAATCCCATAAAACAGCAAACGGCCACATAATGCAAAACTATTTAAAATTAAAACGGAACAGTAAAGAAAATCCGATCAGAATGCAGTCGTCTATTCACAGTGGGACTGGAATTTAGGCCATGATAAATGAAAGAAAAACCAAACGCCTCGGGTGTCTGTAAAAACATCAGATTTCTGCTTATTTTGTAACATATCCATTGTATACGCTGTTTGACAAGAACACGTCTGATTACAGGAGGTCGTACAGTTGTTTATGCAAATCACAGCGCACTCTATCAATACGCATCATTTTCATGTTAAAATTAGAACAGGGTCCGATGCCCCGACGAGGGGTCAAATTTCCCCAAAGAAAGCAAAGTGGGCGCGGTCGTGCTTTGATTATAAGTTTTCGAAAGTCGTTCAAGGGGCGAAGCGAAAATTTAGACAATTTAGGGTTTCAAAGGCTTATTTAACCGATTTTAGAGTCTACTAGAAAATATGATAATTGTTTTTCTCCCTGACGAATTGTGCTTTGTGGAAAGCCCTCCCCGACGGGGGCCCTTCCCCTCCCCCTGATGGCGCCACCCTTTGAATTAGAATGGACATTTCCGCTAAGCCCCGCTCCTTGGATATTGTCGCTGAAACATACACAAACACGTACGTTTGTGAGACATGCGCGTATCCCTGACACTGTTCTTATCAGTTATTAAGTTTGATCGACACTCCGAAAAGGTCCATTATGCCGTAAAACTTCCTTCTTTAAAGCAAAGTATCCATTAAGCCACAGAGCTTACGGTATAAGACGAAAATTTGATCAAACATTGACTTAACTTTAACTGTAATGAGTAATGTCTGTAAACAGCTCAATCGTAAACAAACAAAACCATCCAGTGGGAACATTGCATACACACCTGAACAGTAATGCTGTGCCTCAGTATACCCAGAGTAAACGCAGTGGTGGAGATTTCATTTTTTAGAAGGTGGACGGTCAACAGGCCAAGTCAGGAATAGTATAAAATATGGAGAAATAAGACCAACCAATTTCTACTTATCCGTGCCTATAAGTCTAGGCTTATACATTGTTCTTTAAAACCAACCCCAATCCATTGTAACATTCCGTGGAATGTAGGTCTATACCAATTTCATATTCAGGTTATAACATTTATCATAGAACCATAATAAATGTAGCAGGCCTGTTTGTACAGTTTCTCTTAAAATGGCTACCATTCTTTGGCGTTATTATCCTGTTGTTTACTGTAGGCTACATATAAAACGTTAAATAGATCGAAAGTCAACAGTACCTGCCCAGTATAAATATTAAATTTGTCGTATGATTTGAAATATATACAATAAGAGGTAAAACATTCTTCCTGTTTCGTATGTACAAAATTGGCCAATGACTAGATTAAAATATATTTGTATAAGCTTGTCTATTAAAACAAGAGCTCAAAGTTTTCTCATATTTGATCTTATAATGTAGATTTTAGATGCTATTTTACTCTCAGCATTTCTAAAGCACTAAAAAAATTGTGATATACCCATGTTTGGGTGTAATATGACATCATCAACCCATATATGGGCAAATCACGTAAATATGTTACATAATAGTTGAAAGTGTGGACAGAACGTTAGTGGCGGGAATTGAGGAAGATCTGATACTCTATTACCAAAATGTCCCAATTTCATGCTTGTACCCAATTCTGATTCCAATTATAATTATATATAATTAATATTTTATAATTGGAGTTCAATAATATTCTGCTAACGTTAACAGTGTTAATGAGTGTACTCTTACGATTCGTTTATGTTAATATTTGTTCTTCGTACAGTTAAGTCTATTTCACTGTTGTGTTGGTAGGAAGATAGAGATAGTTAATAAAATATGATAATGTAAGCTTGTCGCTTTGTCAAGTAGATGTACAGAAACTAGTGTCTTCTTCAAATTGCTATTATTTTAAATATACACAGAGCAGATGTCAGACTGATTCAGTATTAATTATTGAAGTCAACCATTGTTACTTTATCCTGAAGTAATAATACCATCAATATACATTCCCTATTATTGTTTTGTTTAGCTAAGTGTTCGACTGTGTCAATAAAATTACATGGCTCGTTAGAGAATGTTTTCATGCAGACAGGTCATATAAATCACGTATCCAAGCCTATATATTCCAAACTCATTGATTAATAAATGCGATAACATTAAGTTCACTGTTATATTACCGGCCAAAATGTATAGAGAAAGTGATGGTTAACAATGGAGTATGCCCACATCCATGTTGTTAGAAATGTCGATTAATCATCCATATTGTTACCATTACATAACCTGTGTGTGTGTGTGTTTTTTGTTTTTTTTTTAGAAGCCGTCATTCATGGTTAGTCAGTAATAGGCATGTGCTCATAATGGCTTCACTACACCCATTGTTTACCTCTCTCGAGTGTGAATCCCTAGCAAACTTATAACCTTTCTGATAACGACTACTTTGAAATAATACCAATTTAACGGTTGTTTATTAGTGTTGGTTTTCAATCAGCGTTTCAGTCAGCTGAACAGAAGTAACCTTCCTAATAGCCTATCGAAATTTAAGACGATTTATTGTTGGCAGTCTGTACAGCAGTTGTTTTCTAAATTAATATTATGCGGTGTCTATGCAACAAACGCCATAACCAACATAAGGCTTACATAATATTCTTTAATGTAAAAGAAATTTACAATCAGTCTGTTGCAATATTATATAGAGCTAGTTTAGAAGAAACAAATTGTATTTTAAAGATTTGTCTTTTAGTTGCTTCTAAATAAAGGTTTTCTTCGATTAGTGTCTAAAGTGTTCCTGGCGATAAAATAAATCATAATGACTACGGTACTAAAACGTGCAAATCGATCCGGAACTTGCATATAATAGAACGATAGATTCATATCCTCGTAGTTACTGCATAAATTGTAAATCTGTCCATAATTATACATTTTCGGTCTCTTGTAAAATTAGTAGCTTGCAGCTCCTTTGTATTACGCATTATTTCCATAAAATCGCTACACTTTCATTACAGCGTTTTCACTGCAATCTTTCGCACTGTGTAGCTCTCCGATTCGACCAACCAATCAGCGTCAGCGAAAGCTGTCTGCTATAGCCTGCAGCGATTTTATGGAAACCACGCTTCACTTTGCTTTGCAATAATAGTCACATTTGTATTTAAATAACATTAATTGAAATACCACTTTAATGAAATCTAAGTAAATAAATTACAATAATTTGAATATCCCATCATCTTATGACTGTAAAAAAGTGTAAACGCCTTAATTTCCAACCTGTCTGGCATAGATTACATTAGGCTTTCTTTCTACAAGGCCCAATGTTCTGCCGAATGTGATCGATAGGTCTTCACAATTGCCGCCTTCATATCACTTGTCATTTATGCATATACAAATTTTTAGTTTAAACAAATGTTTCTAAATCGTCAGTTTTACTGTCCACATCACCCGCATCCCACGTACTACTAATACTACATTGAGCTAGGTAAATGTCTGACGGTTCATCATCGTAGTTCATATGGAATAAATAATTTGCCATCACTGTTTCATAACTTGGTGGAAGGTCCGAATTAGTATTTTCTACGTCATAAGATGTTGAAGCGCCCTCATCGACTGGATATAGCATAAACTCCATACATTTTTCATAAGATGGAGGCCCAGGGTCTGGCGGTGGTCCTGCAGGGTTTTCTATTCCTCTAGTATTGAAAACATCATTTATTTCTGTTTCTTCGTCACTGGTTAAATCTTCCGAGTGTTTACGATTCCGTTTAATTTTTTTCCAGCATGATCTTATTAGCATCAATGTTGGCAGGAGAAAGAAAACAAACAAACCAAAAAGTCCTTCAGTCGATGATATCTGTCCATGAATGAAGCCTGTAGAAAAATAATATTAAATTAGCTTACAAAGTGATTTGTATGCCTAACATTAAAACTATACAAAAACTGATGATATGATATTGGCCGTTGATCTTACTGCTGTTTTACAATTTGTCACTATAATAATCCTTTAAAAAATTTTATGTGAAGCCCACTACGCCAAATAAGTACTGTAATGTCATATATTACATTCTAAAGTATAATATTGAATATTGCTACGGTACGTCTTTAACTATAATTTTAGAAAGACATCTGCAAATGGAAGAGCTTTTCAAATAAAAAACAATTGTGAGCCAATAATTGTGTATATGTTGACACAAGCAGTTGTAATACAAAATATAATATAAACTGGATTATAGATTAGATAGGAAAATGCTGTACTGGATGTAGACATTATATATTCGTCATGTTTTATCCAACTCTTAATTGACTTATATTCTGGGGAGGTGGGTGACATGATCATTTGATTATATATTACGTTATATAGTGATACACATTTGTGGTAGGTCCCACTTACCTATACATATTACTTTGCTACCTTCCACTGAGCTGTACGAACCTAATTTAATTTGAATAATACATTTTCGAATGTGTTTCTTTTGTAAGGTGACAACTCCTCGTCCAATAATTTGTAGATTCGTGTCAATGAGAAATTGTTATTTTACGATATTTTAATTGACGTAAATTTGAACTAATGCATTTAACAGAAGACAAGTGGGTACCTGGTAGGTTCAAACACAGCCTGCGCTGAATACAGCTGCAACATTATGGAATTCCCCTATGGGGCTTGAATGTGTGTTCCATATGTGCTTGATCCAGTGATCCGGGGGTAATAATGTTCAAGCGCTTCGAGGTTGTGTCAACGGGAGGCGCTATATAAATCCAGAATTATTATTATTATTATTATTATTATATTATACTTACTAATATCACAGAAAATAAAAACGCCTTTAAGTCCCGTACCAGTTGCTATTCCTATGTATCGAATATTAAGTGGATTCGAATCCGTCCAAGACATAAACGCAGTTTCATTATAACGGCCTATTTTTATTGTTCCTGATTCAAAATTTATCCAAAATGTCTTAAATTGGTTGTATTCCAGTAAACTATACGGAGTTTCTTCTGAGCATTCGTCTTTGCACCGTGGACACCGTCGTATTGCTGCCGTGTTGGCCTTCTCTGAGTTACCTATAGCTAGTTCATATTGGCTATCCGTATCATATGCTACTGGAGACAGCGTTATGTAAGCATACTTCATTACTTTGATACTAACTTCGAAACTAGTTACATCCACCGCTAACTCTTTCATGGGGTAGATATACTCCTTAATTGTTGTGTCTGTCCGAAAACGCGAACAGTCTGGAATAGAAGACATTCAATATACTTTTAACACGTCTTAATTATTTTCTATTTTACAATGGAACGATTGGTTTTATGCATCTCGTATTGAGTCTATAATATGCCTTGTTATTTCGAAATAATTGCTGACAAAAGAATGGTTTAGGCTTAAGCCAATACACTCTAAAGTAAGATAATATTGATATGGAATAAGAAAACTAAAATACTAATTTCCTGAAAAGCATTTAATCTCCGTTGGACGTGCCACAAAGAGGACTACGTTATGATATGATATTATGATATTCACGCAATAGGAATTTAATTCAGATTGGTATGTGAGCTCGGCGTTTCCTGACGGTGAAGTCCCGTGACCTCTCAATATTAAATCGAAATATAGCCATTCTTACCTGAGCTACTTGAAAAAGAGAAGAATACGAGAAGGAAGACGATAGCAATAAGCTGTGATGAGCGTCCCACGCTCCCTTGCATTCTCACTCATTCCCAAGAAGAGTATGCAAAAGATTGAACCCGTCGCCTCATAAATACTGTTATGTAGGCGGATAAAATAACAGCATTGATTAAATTGATATTTAACGCTCCTGAACACAGAACAATCAATAGAGGTAACCAGTGAATAGTGAGCTATTGTCTCAACATTTGCACGAGTAAATCAATTCGTCATTTTAGCCTAGAGCCTATACTAGTACAGGGTTATAACACTTTTAGTCAGATCACACAAATCCCCAGGCCTAGTTGGATCTGTAGTTAGTCTGCACATCAAACAGTAGGCAATGCCTTTTAATCCCACTTTAATAAAGTGTTTTACTTTCTTCTTTGAAGGAGTGGAGAAGGGGGGGGGGGTAGGAGAATTCCTAATGTGAGTAATATGGCTTCGTTCGCTCAGCTCGCTTTGATAATTTTAGGCCTACTGTAGGCCTATACTTTGCTATTATGCATTATTTATTGCAAGTGAAATAAAAAGTAAAAAACACAATGATATCGAATTTCATTTAGGCCTATGTTAAGCCAAAAAAGGGTTATTTTCTAAAAACAATGGGTTGAAAATACTATAGAATAAAAGCTGAAAAAGAAAGTGAGTTACAGGAGATCAATGAACAGGCAAATAAATCATCGGAGGAAAATAAGATAAGATACAAAATATAATTTTATTTGAAGAGCCCGTATATCTGGCAAAGACTGACATACGGGAATTCTGATTGATGATAAAGTGTTTTTAAATAAAGATATTAAAATTGTGTTTTCTTTCGATTAATGATTAACGTGTCTTAGACGTTAATCAAGAATCTTAATGGCTACTTCACGTATTAATCGATCCGGTACTTTCATTACTCTTACACGTACATGACTTGCATTTGTATATTTGCTGTCTCTTAAAATCGCCCGCTCCTTCAGATTACCTGGAATTTCTTTAGCCAACATACTATAGTACAGTACTTGCTTTAGAATCAACAAGAATTAAGTTACAATTTAACGCGTTGAGTCCAACTATAAAATTTTAAGCCTTTGTAAAGTAGCCTGTCCCTAAGAATAAGCGAATATGCATCCTACGACTGTTAAAATGTAAACACTCTGAGCCTTTTAGTCTTAAATTGGAGAGCTATGAAGTGTGTATTTTCATTTAATTTTACCACGCCTGCTGACAGAATTAAGGCCTTCTGTACGGACGACTGTAATTGGTCGTCAGTGGGCCACTATTTTCCTAGCAACCTGATGTAATTCCGCCCTCAGATCATTTATCATTCATTTAATAAAACGTTTGGATTAGACGGATGTTTCTAAATCGTCACTCTTTCTGTCTGCGTCGCCTCCATCCCAGGCACTACTAATACTAAACTGATACCGGTTTACATTTGACTGTGATTCGGAGTTTATATCAAATAAAAAATATGCCATCGCTGCTTCGTAACTTGGTGGAAGGTCTGAATTATATTCGACGTCACGTGATGAAGATGCGACCTCATCGGCAGAATGTAGTAACTCACTTCCATAAGGAAGCTCCAAACATTTATCATAAGATGGTGGATCGGGGTCTGGCAGCGGTCCTGCTGGATTTTCTATTCCTCTAGTATCGTCAGCATTATTTAACTCTGTTTCATCGCCATTGCCTGAATCTCTCGAATATGCAATCTTTCTTTTTAAATGTTTCAAGTATGATCGTATAAGCATAAGCGTTGCCGGCAAGAAGAGAATGCACAACACCACAATTCCCTCTAATGGTACCGACTGGCTAGTCTTGAATTCTGTTAAGAAAAAACATAAAGAATATTTCACAGAGTTAAAATTATTTGGATTTGTTAAGCCATGCATTTACTGCGCCCGACGGTCGTTCTATGGAGAACGCAACGCCATGACGCAAGCGCAACGGACCCGTTCCGTTTAGACTGCCACGAACAATCAGCAGACGTCGTTGCGTCGTCTAACGCTCACAGTGCGTTGGGTTCGTCGGCCGGCGATCGTACGACTGTCGTACGACTCAGTGAGTGTCCGTATATCAGTATCAGAACCAGATTGATGGTTCTATTTATAACGTCATAAACATCTCCATCTGCCTACTGCTGCTACACATACATAGGCCTACGTGTGAACCACTTCGTCAAAAAATATTTCTACATCTGCAACATCAAAATTATACTTACTAATGTCACAGAAAGTAAAGGTACCCGGGAGCCTCAAAGTCGCTATTCCTATATATCGAATACTCAGCGGATACATATCCGTCCAAGACAGAAACGCAGTTTCATTATAACGGCCTATTTTTATTGTTCCTGATTCAAAATTTACCCAAAATTTCTTAAATTGGTTGTGTTCCAGTAGCCTGTAGGGAGTTGTCTTTGATTCTTTGTCTTCGCACCGGTGACACCGCCGTATTGCTGCCGTGTTAGCATCCTCTGAGTTACCTATAGCTATTTCATATTGGTATTCTGAATCTTTTGCTACTGGAGACAGCGTGATGTACGCGTAATTCATTACTCTGACACTAAAATCAAAACTGTTTACATCTGCTGCCAATTCGTTCATAGGGTACTGATATTTTTTGAATGTGCCCGTCCGAAAGCTTTTGCAATCTGAAATAGAAACGCTAACATATTAGAAATTTAAAAAAAAAATTGTAAGCATCCCTAGCGGTATAAATTTCGATATGCTATCAAATGCCAGCTTAGGCCTACTTATACCTTTTGATTATTGGAATGTATAATTGTTATAAATAACATGACATTATTTTTATTGCTATTGTTATTGCTATTAATTATAATACCGGTAATGCTTTTAGAAAATGTAACATATAGCCTATAGACATAAATAATACATTGACATTGTATGGGGAGATATGGGCTTGCTCAAACAGTGTACACCAAAACACAAATGTTCTGGCCTCAGAACTGATAAAATTGTAATTGGCCAATAATTCCGCTTAGGACTAGACACCTCATCAAAATATAACAGTACCGATAGGGAATTTGCACTAAACTATTGGTCATAATATGCATATTGGATAAATGATTCACTGCCTTCGACACTATACGAGCAAACATAACTATGTTATGATTAACCGTAGTGACACAAGCGGCTTTCAAATTATTGATATCTTTACGTTAACGCAAAATGTTGTCACGGTGTTTAAACAGAGGCCCCAGTGGTCTGTCGATATTGTCGAATCAAAGTTACACTTACCGGAGCTACTTGATACAGCGACGAATACGAGGGAATAGAGAAGAGTAATCAGTTTGGGTGAGTGGTCCGCGCTTCCCTGCATCATCATCCATAGATCACTACTTCTAAGAAAGATGAAATCTTACACCAGTACCATAGCTTGTAACTATGTAATATTAGTAATGGGCGGATGAAAAAACATCATTGATTACACGGGCATTTCACGCTACCTGAACACAGAACAATCAATAATAAAGACTGGAGAGCTTTTGTTTTGAATATTGCAATTGAATTTGACATTTGGTAGTGTAGGCCTAACAATGTAATGCATAGCTAGACCATATATGTATTATGCTAAAAAAAACATACACAAACAA